TATCTATCTATCTATCTATCTATCTATCTATCTATCTATCTATCTATTTAATTTTTCTTTTTTTGCTATTTATTTAGTGAGGCAGGGCTTCATTTACACTCATCCAAGGCTTGGCTGAAGTGCCTTGTATAACTAAGGATGACCTTGAACTTCTGACACTCCTGCTTCCACCACAAGGTTTCTGGGATTACAGGTGAGTACCACCTCATCCACTTTATACATCCTTGCAGACTTTGCCCAGGGCAAGTGCTCTCTGGACTCTACCACACTCTTGGTCTTCAGGATTTTTTTTTTTTTTTTTGCATTCTAATGGAAGAGAGAAAGAAAGGGTTTGGATTTGTGTGGATGAGGAAGTGGGGAGGGTATGGAGGTAGAGGGGAAATGAATCAGAATATCGTATATGATTAAAAAATCATTTTCAATAATAACCAATAAATACACTTTTTGTTTCTTAAAACAACAACAAAAACAGGACCTGGTACCTATATCAGAGTGTAACATAGACCTCTTAAAGAGGAGGGGTAGATTTGAAGGATAAAGGAAGAAACATATCTAGGTCACAGACTTTTTGTAATATAGTTGGAGTCCCAGACACCATTAATAGTGGGAGACATAGAGAGTCTTCAAAATATGGTACAAATAAAAAAAAACAATCAATCTGGAGACTCAGGGAGATTTCTGAATCCTGAGCACAATGAATGAAGAGAAATTCAAGCCCACACAGGACAGAGTAAAATGTTAAATACATATTGAACAAAACATGCATTTTCTAAGATGACCACTCTTTTAGGAAAAATAATTCAACAAGAGTTTTACCAACAGAAGGAAATCAGGAAGGAGGGGAACAATACCTTCATCATTTTGAAGGGATAGCTCCCAGCTTCTAACTCTTTCAATGAAACTCTCCTGAGAACGAGAGAGTTTGGAAGGTAAGCATTAAAGGGAAATGTAAGAGAAAACGATCTGGGGAAGGGTTAAATCAGTAGGCAAATTTAATGAAAACTGATGAAATACTTTGACTTTATTTTCCAACATTAAATAAAAAGCACAAAATCCTCCCAACGGGTTTCAGTTCTATAGACATCAGTTGCCATTGTGGAAGGCTGTTTTCCTACTCACTGGGATCACATATAGCAGCTCTCACAGAGAATTCTGCTTACCCGTGGGATTTCCAGCCCTGTGAAGAAGCCTGCCTGGGAGAGAGCCAGTGCACCTGGGCTGCAGTAGGTGGGGTAGCAGAGAGCAAAGAGGAAGATGTCTGTTACTTGCTCTGGTACCACAGGTCCAGGGACCGGTCCTCAAGGCTGGGTACAGTGCAAGTACTGCGAGCTCACATGACTCTAGCAGTAAACAGAGGCAGCCCTGGGCACTGAGTACTGGGGTTTGGAATCCCTCATGGTTCGTCCTTGGCCATCTTCATGGTCTCCTTAGCACAAGATGGCCATCAAATTTCAAAACAGAAGTGGAGGTTGTTGTAAACATTTTTTTTTTTTTCAGTTTGTACTCCTGAACAACTGTCAAAACTGACATCCTATGGGATGTTTAGTTAAGAGTCTACAAAGCGGATCTTTGTATACCTTAAAAGACCTAAAAAAAGGAGGTAGTTGTCCTGAAGTGTATGTTTGTGTGTGTGTGTGAGAGAGACAGAGACAAAGAGACAGAGACACACAGAGAGAAAGACAGATAGAGGACACACAGAGAGAGACAGAGAGAAAGGGTGAGGGAGAGGCAGAGGGAGAGGGAGAGTGCCCTGAAAAGGGTCTGGAGACCATCCTGCTTTGAAAATTAGCCTCTCTTGGAAGGTGTTCTCAGCTTTGCCACTGTTCTTCATATTTTTCACAGCCTACGTGTGGGTCCGAGTGAGTGAATGCTTACCTGCTTTGGCCTTTTCTTGGCACAGGGCTCTGTTGGTCATGCACTGTGGACTCTGGAGCTCCTGGAGTCTTGGGCTGTAGTGGGAAGGAACACAGTATGGGCAGAGGTCAACTGAATAGGGGATGGGTGTGGTCAGGATTTTTGGGGAGACCTGGAGGAGAAGAATTAGACAAGGTAATAGATAAAGTAGGAAGGGTGAGGTGAAAGTTCACTTTCCAGGAGTTAAGTTGTGGCTGGTGACTTGTGCTGGGAAGCCTGGTGGCTGCTGAAGGAAGAAGGGAGGTGAGCCAGTGAGGAGACAGAGAGGAAGAGGGGGAGAAAAAGGAGGAAGACTATGACTACAAAGATTACAACAATCATGTCAACAAAGGGGGCGTGCAGGGTAGTGAGGCTCAGGCATTGTTTGGGGTGTTGGTACCCAGAGAGCCATTAATGTCCTATTGTAACCTGTGACACATAACTTTAACCAAAACAAGGGTTCTATGTGGCACATTAGCATTCCAAACAATCCTCCATTAATCGAAGATGTGTAGGGGAAGTAGAGCAAACGCATACGGCAGGGTCAAAGGGTAGAGGTAGAAGGACGCATAAGTGTATTTCATTTAATTTGAACGGTGTCTTTTGGTTTCTTTTCAAAATTTTTCCATTTGATGACAAATTGCCATCATCTCTGAAATCGTGAAGTCACCATCCCGTTACTACTTTAACCTGCCCTAGTTAGCTTTTGTCAGTTTGACACACACCTGTATGTCTATATCAGAGACGAGAAACTCTCAATTAGAGAATCACCTTCAACAGACTGGTCTGTGGGAATGCCTGTGAGGGCATTTTCTGGATTGCTGATGGATGTGTGATGGTCCAGATCCCTGTAGATGGTGTGGTGTCATGGCGGATGGGCTTGGTCAGTGTTTGAAGGGAAACTGAGGAAGCCATCTGTGAGCAATATTCCTTTACGGTCTCTGACTCAGTTCTTGCCTTGGCTTCCTTTGATAATGAATTATAACCCATGAGCCAAGTAAATCTCGGTTTAGCCAATGTTTAAACACAGCAACCTAGAGGCAAGCCGAGGCACTGCAACTGCTGAATTGTGAAGGTTGGCGGGGCCCGGATAAACAGCAAGGAGGATCAGCTGAGGAAAAGAGATGCAGATCACATTCAGAGGAATTTTTATTTTATTTTATTATTTTATTTTATTTTATTATTTGCGACAGAGTCTTTGCCATCCTCATTTTGTCCTCCGCTTTCAACCAAACTTTAATATATAGACTGCTTTCCCACTGTTACAAGTCTGAAAGGGGGCGAACATTCCTTCACGCCGCCCCTAGACTGGAGCCCGCTTCCCAGCGCAGATTGGATAGGCGAGGCCTTGCGTGTGCCTACTCAGAACCTTTACCCAGAGCCTCAGAGATGCCACCGGTGTCAGAGCAGCTCGCTCTTGCTTACTTGTGCAAACTAGCACGTGCACATTGTGTTGGGAAGTGTTGCTTGGCAACGGTGCTCCTTCCAACTGTATAAGGCTTTGGTTGGCAGACGTTTAAGCCATGGCGTTTAAGTCTCTGTGCAAATGCTGCTGGTTTTTGCTAAGACCTAATACTGGGCTCCGGGACCAGAAAAGATGAGAGGTTGGGAAGGGACCTCCTAATGACCTTTGCCATGAAGAAGATCTTAGGGGCTAAGAAAAAGACACCCCTGGGTTTCTGCGATGGCCCACAGATGACCGCCTCTGAGTTTTTCTTCGGTGACTTTCCAAACTATCCAAAATACCATACAACATACAGACCCGTGGGGCAGATCCACCGGGTTGCCGCTGAGGGCGATGCAGCCCGGATGGAGATTCTCATCACGCTTGGGCAGTGCAGCGTGTATGACCGAGACCACAAGAACAGGTAATAGCGGGGGAGAGAGCAGCTGTCCACCTCGTGGGCGGGCCTGTGTAGGAGAAGGGCCGTCTCCCTGGCTCTCCTGAGAGCCCGGATGGGTGGCGAGGAAAGGGGTCTGTCCACCCCTGAGACCTGCGCGCCTGGGAGGGATCCTGAGCTGCCCACAGGAACTTCCAGTTACTTCCCAATCTCCCTCTGCTTAGTCCAACAGAGCTGGCAATTGTAGCCCTGCCAACTCTAGCAAGTACCAAAGCACTGAGGTCTCCATGGCTGGAGATCTGTACTTTCCACTGAGAAAGTATTGACTGGGGTCTGGGGCTAAAGTGAGGCGTGTGTTCTATTCACAGCGCACGCATGGATCTTTGGTACTGTGTTAAGAAAAACGCCACATGTTCCAGTGGTGGTACAAATCGGAGAGCTTCCATACTGCTGTTGAGAAAAAAAAGAATGAGCTTCCGACCAGCTCTTCCTCTTCATTTCTTTTTTCCAAGTTCTCTCTTCTCTTGCTCTTTCCTTCCTTTCTCTCCCTTTTCTTCCTCCTCCCCCTTTCCTTTTCCTCCTTCTCCCTCCTCTGTTCCCTTCCTCCCCTTGTGTCTTCCTCTCTTCCCCTCTTTCTCTTTCCTCCTCCACCCTCTTTCTCTTTCCACCTCCTCCTCTCTTTTCGGGCTTCTCATAATTAATTATGTTTTTGAAGCAGAGTCGGAGTTTCTTAGGGAAAAAGTTAAACAGACGTAAATGCAGGAATTAATAGAGGCACCAAGTAAAGGAAACTGCCTACCCAGGATAAAGAGGGTCAATCAAGGGCTGGGTGCAGGCTGCTAAGACAGCCATTTTTCTTTCCTCCCACTATTTCCCAAGACTCCCTGCACATCCACGAATGTTTGGCTGTGGAGACTCAGCATCTGTTTTGAGGCACTGCTGGGTAGAGTTTCTCAGAGGACAACTCTGACAAGCTCCTGTCTGCAAGCTCAGCAGGGTGTCCTTCATAGTGTCAAGGGGCACCCATAGGGTGGGTCCTTGGTTGAGCCAGGCAATGGCTTAGCATTCCCTCAATCTTTGTTCTAGCTGCTCTGTCTTTATCCCTGCACATCTTGTAGGCAGGGTAAATTTTGGGTCGAGGCCTCTGCTAGGAGACTCGTCTAGTTATAGGATGCCCTCTTCAGTCTCTACGGCCTGTGCTACTAGGCGTCTCTCCTTGAATCCCCTCATATCCTCCCAGGAGCCTGCCCTGACTTAGGTCTCCAGCTTGTCACAGAGATGTCCCCACCCTCAGTTTCTCTTTTCTCTACAGGCCTCTGTCCTCACCCTCGCTCTCCTCAGGTATAATACCAACCCTCTTAACTCTTTGTGCCCCTCTCCTACCTTTCTCCTCTTCAGTCGTTACCTCTGTCTAGTCTATCTCCCTTTCTGACTGAGGCTGATGCGTCCTCCCTTGGGTCCTCCTTATTACTTATCTTCTTTGGGTCTGTGCCTCGTAATATGCTTATCCTATACTATATGGCTAAAATCCACTTATAAGTGGGTATATGCCATGTGCATCTTTTTGCATCTGGGGTATCTCCCTCAGGATGATCTTTTCTAGTTCATCCATTTTCCTGCAAATTTCATGATTTCTTTGTTTTTAATTGCTGAGTAGTGTTCCATGGTGGAAATGTGCCACAGTTTCTTTATCCATTCCTCAGTTGAGGGGCATTTAGGTTGTTTCCAGATTCCGGCTATTACAAATAAAGCTGCTATGAACATAGTTGAGCAAATGTCCTTGTATGGTGGAGCATCTTTTGGGTATATGCCCAGGAGAGATATAGCTGGGTCTTGAGGTAAAGTTATTCCCAATTTTTTAAGAGAGCACCAGATTGACCCAGAAGCGACAGGAGCACCACAAGAACACAACAGAGCCAACTAACCAGGGCCCAGAGGGGTTTGCTGAGACTGAAGCATCAACCATGAACAGGACCTGGGTCCCCTACAAAGATGCAGCAGATGGGTCGCTTAGGCTTTATGTCCTCTAGTAAGAGAAGTAGGGACGGCATCTGACACGAACTCACTTGCCAGCTTTTAGGTTACTTTCCCCTGGTAGGATGGTCTTGAGAGGCCACAGGTGAAGAGGACATGCTACAAGGATGTAAAGTGAATAAAATAAATAAAAAATTCCTTAAAAATCAATAAAGAAAAAAAATGATGTAAATTCAGTCATATAGCATGACATTCTCAAAAATAAATTAAAAAAGAGATTTTAACTGTAAAAAAAAAAAAAGTCAGTTGCCTGTCCTTCTAATGTTATGGTTGTGGAAACTGAGACATAGGAAATCTGAGAAGTCCCTAGTAAGTAGTTTAGCTTAGAGTAGAGGTAAATCCAAGGGCAGTTTAATTCAAAGGCGATGCTTTTTGATCAAGCTTTCCGATTCTCCAAATCCTCTCAGATCTTGCCCACCTCCCCACCTATCCAACTCCACAGCCTTTCCCTGGTTAAAAAATAAGCAAACAGTAGCCCCCTTAAAAAAACAAAACAAAAAACAATCAAGAAACTCATGCAAAAAGCCTCAAAAAAACATAAAAATATGGAATCTAAAAGCAAAAGGTCAATAATACACAGACACACCCCAAACATACAAATTGGTCGAACAAGGCAAAATAATACAAAAAGTCTACAGAAATAACACTGAGTTCTTTTTGTACTGTGCTCTGCTCTTTTTGAACAGGCTGCTCTGGGCTGATTCAAAAGCAGCTCAATGGCAGAGTGCTTTCCTAGCAGGAAGGAGGCCATGTGATCTCCCCACAGCTCAGATAGAAAAGGGACTTCAAACAGGTTGCCCTTTCTTTAATAAGAGTGAATCTTGTCCTTTTCTGAGAAGAACATGGAAGATTTGTTTGGAAGGCAGAGGAATGACATGGTACTTAATGTAATGTAATTGTGGGTTTTGAGACAGCCCACTACAATGTCTCAAAAATTCCTCCCATTCCCACAGGACGGCCTTGCATTTTGCCTGTGTCTATGGCCGGCTGCCAGTGGTGACTGTTCTAATGAACAACAATTGTGAGATCGATGCCTTTGACAAGAACCACATCACACCTCTGATGAAGGTAGGTGGCAGCCGTTGATTCCAGCGTGGGGTAGACGTGCCCGAAGCGCTTATTACCGAAGGAACTCTACTTCCGTCTACCTACAGCTCGCTGGCGAGCCCTGTGGGGTGCTTATCTTGAATTCCTCAGGCCGAAGATCTGTTTCTTGTTTTCCAACGCAGTCTGTCCAGTGCTGGAAGCAGAAGTGCGCGGCTCTCCTGCTGGAGCACGGTGCCAACCCGAACCTTGTCGACAACAGTGGGAACTGCGCCTTACACTATGCTGTGTTCAACGGGCACGAAGAGATGGCGGCGCTGCTGCTTAAACACAATGCTGATATCGAACAGAAAACCAAGGTGCAGTTCACCGCATTTTAATCCCAAAGTCTCTGAGATAGGTTTTAACAGAGGCAGGTGTGTGTGTGTGTGTGTGTGTGTGTGTGTGTGTGTGTGTGTGTGTG